GAGTTACTATGGACATGTAATGCCTCTACAAAGGTGGATGATGTGTGAGTAGCGCATTCATGCAAGTCTATATGTGAGTTATCCAGCAAAATTAGTGGATTAAATTAACATGAAAATCCTTCCTCTCCAAACTATCAAATGAAACATTTAAAAATGCTTCAAAAATGCATTATTGAACTTACGTGAAGTAAAAGGAACTTCTCTGGTGCCAGAACAAAGGAAGTAATCAAAAACACTAAAATATTAATATTAATTAGGACAGGACCTATGACATTCTTTAAGGAGGCCTGTAAAATAAAGTTATAATTCTGGGCTTGTATTATAAGAGGGGGGCAGAAGAGCCCTTGGGTATATACAAAGTAAGAAGTTAGAACTAAGACTCATGTATAAAGCTGGGGTCCTCAAAAACTACATCCTCAGTGGTATGGCCCGAATGGTTTTATTCCTGTCAAATTCAAATACTGAATCTCTAATCTCTAATGTGATGATATTTGGAGGTGGGGCCTTTAGGAGGTAATCAAGTCATGAGGGTGGAACCTTCATGAATGGGATTAGTGTCCTTATAAAGAAGAGACACTAGAGAGGTGATCTCTCTCTACCATGGATACAGCAGGATACAGCACAAAGACCTCTGTCTGCAAATCAGAAAGAGGGCCCTCACCAGGAACCAAACAAACCAGCACCTGATTTTGGACTTCCCAGCCTCCAGAACTGTAAGAAATAAATTTCTATTGTTTAAGCCACCAAGTCCATGGTATTTTTGTTATAACAGTCCAAACTGACTAAGATATACAGTGATTAGGAATACTTCACTTACCATCTTTACAAGTTGACAAGTTATTTGTTTATTCCCAGGTTTGGGGTAGAAAAAAATGCTTTCCATGAGAAACTAAATTCTTGGGCCTATGTATTATTTAGATTTCGAGTAGAATTTTTTATTACCTAGTTGGTTCAGAAATTCCCAAAACTATCCAGGATTCCTGAACTTCCAATAGGAAAATATAAATGTACCAGATTATTCATTGCGACATTGTTTGTAAATGCAAAATGTAGGCAACAACTGAAATGTCCAGACATGGGAGAGTAGTTGAATTACCTATGGTACATCTACAATAGAACACCATGAAACTACAAAAAAGAATGAGGAAAATCTCTATGAACTGATAACCAGGATGGGCTGTTAAGTAGAAAAAAGAAAAACAACAAAGTGCAAAAGACTATATTATGCTATCTTTCATGTAGGGAAGAAGAGATATAA